TTGTCCCGCCTATTCCCCGGAGTCACTTCTAACACGTTTAGTGCGTGGCTGGGGCATAGACTGGACTGCTCAAGGTGTAGATACGCGGGGCTGCGCTTAAGGCCATGTGAGTCGGTGTAGTAAACTAGACTCGCGAAGAGGTACTGGTAAGGGATGGGTGTCGCATTCTCGATCTTGCCCCCGACAGTTCTCAGCGAGTGCACTGCGAATTATCCCCATCCAACGGTCAGAGCTAGAGATACTCTACTTGATGCCAGAACAACTGGCCCGTGCGTTAGGTATCCGATAATAACGCCAGCGAATCCAACGTCGAAGGATTTCCGAGTTCCATGGGAAGTGGAGGAAGGTCTCCTTGTCGCCCTCGCCGCGGGCGCCCTGGGAGAGGAGGGGGTAGAAGCAGCCCGGGCCGAACCAGTTGTAGTAGGTCGCGAGGAGGAGGTCGTCAGCGTGGGTGGCCTTGTCGTACAACAGGATGCCGGACTCGGAGCTGCGCCGGGTGAGGGGCCGCGGGGGCGGGAGGCCGGCGTTGGAGATGCGGTAGTAGCTGGGGGACGTCGTCTCGAGCCAGAAGTCGGGCCAGGTGACGAGGCCGTGGGAGGCGAAGGGCTCGGAGGTGAAGAGGGGCTCCGGGTCGTGAATGGGCCAGACGTCCGAGTCGAGGTAGAGGGTCTGCTGGAAGGGGGAGAGGAGGATGGAGAGGACCTTGTACTGGTAGTGCCTGATGGGGGCCTCGGTGTTGCTGGCGAGGAGTAGGTCTTCCACCACGAGGCACTCCACGGCCATGCGTCGGAGGATGCCGTCGCAGAAGCCGGCGGCGGCGGCCCGCTCGGCGCGGGTGTCGAGGAAGAGGTGGACGGGGAGCCGGGAGCCGGAGCGGCGGAGCATGAGGATCGAGGTCAGGGCGGTGCCGAGGTAGCCGCCGCCGGCGGTCATGACGACGCCGCGGGTGCCATTCCAGTAGGGAAGCTTCTCGGACAGCGTGGACCTGACGGCGGACACGAAGGCTGCGTGCTGCGCGGTGAGGGACTCGAGGGAGGCGTCGTCGAGGGCGATGAGGTTCCGGCGCGGGGTGTCGTCTGTTACGGTCTTGGAGAAGGGGCTCGAGTCGAGCTCGCCATCGGAAAGCGGGGGCCCGACAGTCGGGCGGAGGGGGGAGGGAAGGCTGGGCTCGGCGACGTGGAGGGCGGCCTGGAGGGATTTCCAGAAAGCCTGGACGGGCACCGACTCCAGGTGGGAAGCTGCCGAGGGGCTGCCCTGGTCGTCGTTATGCGCCGGAGGGATGGCATTATAGGGGAGGAGGGTCGAGGGAATGCGGAACGAGTGGATGTGTGCCAGGAGGAGCAGGCCCAGGACCGGGGGTACGAGGTAGAGCCATAGCGGCCTCCGGCGTTTCGCGGGAAAGAGGAGTGACATTGTGCGTTGTCGTGATGCCTGGCTTGGTGTTTTTGTTCTTCCTGGGATTTAATCTGGGGGGTTCCGTGTCGGAGACTGGGGGACCGAACGACGATTACGCTGTTGCGCCAAATAGACAGACCGGTATTAGGATGATTGGGTGATTAATGACAATAGGACGATAAGACACAGATTATTAATTATAGGTGAGGCACAAGCTGTCAGCATATGGCCGTTGACGTGGACGAAGCGTTTTCTTTTTTTTTTTCCTTTTCCTCTTTTTCTCCTCAGGGGCAGTTGTTGGAGATGGTTGGGCAGGTTATGGGAGCACGAGAAGCTACCGCATCCCTTCGAGCAGTCGATCGAGAATAGAGAACGACGCATGCTGGGCCGACAAACGGCAGGGCGGCGAGGCGATGGATATATAGCAGACGACAGACAGACGGTGTTGAGGGTGTGGGCTGGGCGAATATGACCAATATGCAAGGAAGATTTCCCACCCCTGTCCGATTTTTTATTTGCGACTACATACGGAAGTACAACCGTACGTCCCCATGAGCTGATTTTATGCCGTTCGTATCCACCACGAACTATCGATCGTACATGTACAACTTAGAGAGAGGGGGGGGGAAGGTTGGTGTGGTGTCTTTCTTCCGAGTTTCTTTCTGCTAGCGAAAACGCTCCATCAAGGTCCGAGGAGAAGGTGTGTTTTCCCGATGCAGAGCCCTGGAGCAAAAGGCCATGTTTGTACTTAGAAGGGGAGTATGACATTTGGCAGGTTTGCGGGATCGTTTGCGCAAGAAACAGAAAGAAAAAAAGAAGCAGCCAAAGAGAGGGAAGCAGCAAACAGCCCCGGGAGACACATCGCGGCCCGAGCAATTTTCCCACAAAGTCTTTCTCTGTGTTTGGTGCTCTTTGCCCCTGGCACCCAGGGCGGTCGGTCATTCTTTCTTATTGTTACTTTATCTTGGCTCGTACAATGGAGTGTGTCCCGCTTGGGACACCAGCACGGTAAGTGACAGGTACACTAGGGCGGCGAGAGACATTGATGGGGAACGAACGACGCACATTCGAGGCTCCTGACTGGCCCGTCGTCGCTGGCGTGTGAGCCGGGAATACGAGGTTCGCGGCCGATGTTGGGAATAGCCTACTCTAGTAGTAGGCACGTACATGGCGCTGAACCATCCGTCTTAGGCCCTACTGCGTAGGTTGCGCTCACGAGGGCGACACGAAGAGTGGTTCGGCGAGCATCCATCGCGTCTGTGTGGGTAGTGTCTTGTTCACCCTGCGCCGGGCGAAGAAAAACTTCGTATTTGGGTGGGCGATGAGTGATCGACGGTGTTAGACATGCCTCCCCCCCAGTCATGGCCAGTCCGGGGTCATGAATCTCACAGGGAGAGAGGGAGAGAGAGAGAGAGAGAGAAAGGCAGGTGGTAGATGGCGGAAGTGGGCAGGGTACCATGTCTGCGAGGCACAGATGACATGGTGTGATTGAAATTGCTTAGTATGGCTAATCGATGCGCAGATTTCCGAAATTGGCGCCATGCGGGCTGACAGGCTCTAGGTCCGTGGTCGAAGGAGAGGCCGGGGAGGATGCCATGGTGGTACGAGTCGATGAGGACCAGGTTGGTCACTGGTGATGCACCCATAGAAGGGAAGAGAGGGAAAACAGAGATCCCGGGGGTTTGGAAAGCTGGGATTTGGATTCCAGATATACGTGGTACGACCGAGGCGAATAAACTACAATGGTAGGTAAGAAACTTTGATGGGAGGCACAGACGGGAAGAGGCAGAACAGACAATCCAGCGTCTTAGCACGAGATAGGAAGATACTTCTTGTAACATCTTGATGTATACGTAGAAAAGGTATACGATTAACACAGAGATAAGCACTGGATCAGAGGGCGGGTAGAAGTGGATACACGCAGGGACCCCCACCCCACCCCCACTAACGGCGGGGCGTGGGTGAGGTGAGGTGAGGTGATGATGTGTATGCGTGTACCGCGCTAATGACCGAGGCGGTCAAGAACGGCAGAATCATTTTTGATCTCCAAACTTTTTGGATTGTACCCTGGAGGCGATCTTTTCGGCGTGACCATCAGCGACGGTCCGAGAAAAGAAGAAGAGAGGGGGACAAAAAAAAAAGCAACCATTGGATTTGGTCCCACTAGCATCCCGAATTCCATTTTGAAGCGGCTACGGCAAGAAAAGGTGTCAATTGACACAAATATCAATACGGCACAATGACCAAGACGGCGAGCGCAAAGCGCAAGCGCGCCGAGAGGGAAGCCCTCAAGGCCGCCCAGACCAACAAGCGCGCAAAGAGCTCTCACGACGCCTCAGCCGACGGCAGAAACACCCCCGACCCGAATGACGCGGCCGCCCACGATACCCATGCCGCTAGCGGCCCTAGGTTGCCCAAGGTGCTCCAAGAGAAAAAGCTCTTCGTCGAGAACTCCGTGGGCAAGGACCGCCTGCGCGAGGCGAAGCTCTACGACCTCCTCAGCAGCGAGAACGAGACGGACCGCCTCGAGGCTGCCAGCGCCATCATCTCCAGCCTCCTCGACGGCGACGGCGTGACTGAGGCCGTGCTGCAGCGCCACCTCGACTGGCGCCTGTTCCGCGGTCTCGCGAGTGGCAGGGCCGCCTCGAGGCTCGGCTACAGTATCGTCCTGACGGAGATCCTGAGCCAGCTTCTCGGCCCGCCAAGGAACCTGAGCCGCGACAAGTATCCCGGCCTGACGTTCGATAAGGTGCTGGGGATGCTTATGGAGAGGACACACGTCGGCGGCAACATGCCGGGCCAGGAGGAGCGGGACCTGTGGTTCGGCCAGCTGTTTGGGCTTGAGTGCTTCGTGCGCGCTAGGGTACTGTTCACCCCGGACGAGGGCCCCGACAGGTGGAACGAGGTGTTGAGGCTCCTGGTGAAGCTGGGGAACAAGAAGGTCTGGCTGCGGCCGCAGTGCGGGTGGGTCGTGGCCCAGGCGCTCGCGCAGCTGGACCGGAACCGCATCGAAATGGTTCTGCAGCAGCTTGTCGAGCTGGGCTGGTCCAAGACTCCGGAGGGCGTTGGCATCTGGCTCGTCGCCTTCGAGCAGTGCCCCGACCTGAGCAGCGGCGACCAGTCGAAGCACCACCACCCGCTCTCGCCGAGGAACCTTGGCGAGCTTGCCGGTATCCTGAAGGAGAGTGGCCAGGACGACGTGGAGAAGCAGCAGAAACAACAGCAGCAACAGCAAAGAAGGGGGGCTGGCTTCAGCAAGAACAAGCAGGCCAATTGGACGCCCCAGCTCCACTTCGTTTGGGATCTCATTGTGCGTCACTTCTTGCGCAGGGGCCCCGAGCATGTCGAGGACTTCAGGGCGTTCTGGAAACGTGTTGTTGATGGTGAGTTCTACGAGTGTTTGTCTTTCTGGGGAAAAGACTAATCGGGATTGTACAGACAACTTCTTCGCAAAGACCGCCACCGAGGGACAAAAGTTCAGGGGCTTCCTGGTTTTCCAGAAGATGCTCCAGAGCTACGCCGACATCGACGACCTCCTTGATATCCTTTTCAGCAGGAACCTGATGACCTGTCTCATCAACCAGGCCGCCCAGGAGGACCGCTTCCTCCACCGTGCGGCTCTCAAGACCTGCAAGATCATCGAGGAAACGTCTGCGGCGCACCCGGAAGCCACCGGTATCATCCTCGACAACCTGATCAACAACAACGGCCTGTACCGGTTCGACGTCATGACCAAGAGCAAGACTGTCGACAAGATCCTCCAGCACGTAAAGGCCGATACGGGCGAGGATGTCATGCAGGTCCTGAGGGGGCCCGTCATGAAGACCTCCACCACATCGTACGCCAACCCCCCCCCCCCCCAAACCTCGTTTGCGGCTCGAAACTGACAATTTCCACAGAAAGGACATCAACGCTGTCAAGCTTGACCTCCGCGTCTACATCGAATACATCTTCCGCCTGACCACCTCAGCACCTGAAGTCGCGCTGCAAGAGCTGACTTCACTTGCATACGCAAAGCCTATCTGGGTCCCGGCGAACGCACACTCTCTGGTAACGGAACTTAGCAGGAGCCGTCTCCAGTCCGCCTTCGCCAAACTTTCGCGCAAGACCGAGGACTCGAACTACCTATGCACCGCGGTCCTGTCGATCAACCCAGAGTACATTCGCATGGAGGGCGAGATGAAGGAGGAAGTCAATTCGGCACGGAAGCGCTTGGAGAAGCTCATGAAGACAAGCACCTCCGTGGGTGAGAGCGCCTCGGACGAGGTCAAGATCGCACAGGGTCTGGCTCTCCTCTACGGCATTGCCATCTCTCAACTTTACAACGAGGAACCGGACGCGTTCCAGCTTCTGAGTGACCTGAAGGAGTACCAGACTCGTCTCCAGACGGACGAGGAGGGCGCTGCGGAGTTCTTGGTCGAGATTCTGCTGTCTCTTGTTTCTCAGCAATCCTCACTTTTACGAGAGATCTCGCAACGGGTGTTTGGCAACTTTACCACCCGGGTTTCTCCCAAAGCACTGGAGCTGCTATTGGACGTCCTCTCCGCCGACGAGAGCGCCAAGGGTCAGCAGTCGCTGTTCGATGATGTCAACGCAGACGAAATGGATGTCGAAGACATGGAGGACGACGGCGAAGACGATTCTGACGACGAGCTTGGTTCCGACGTCGAGGTGGACTCGGACGTTGAGTTTGTCGGCCTCAACACCGGCGACGGCGAGGACGAGGACGAGGAAGAGGATGAAGACGAAGAATCGGGATCCGACGAGGAGGCCGACGCTGAAGATGGCAACAACCTCGAGGCCCTCGACGACGCCCTCAGCAAGATTCTCAACAGCCACCGGCTCGACAAGGACCAGGACGCCGAGACCTCGGACGATGACTCGGACATGAGCGACTCGGACATGCTGGAGCTCGACAGCAAGCTGGCCGAGGTGTTCAAGCAGCGCGCCAAGGCGGCGCCGAGCAAGAAGAAGGAGCGCAAGGCCGCCAAGGAGTCCGTAGTTAACTTCAAGCGGCGCGTGCTGGACCTGCTCGAGGTCTACGTGAAAAACGAGGCGGCGAACCCGGCGGCGCTCGCCGTCCTGCAGCCACTCCTGCGGCTTGTCCGCACGTCGACCATCAAGACGCTCTCCGACCGGGCGTATGAGCTGATCAAGGACTACCAGAAGAAGCTGCGCAAGGCGCGGTCCGGGGTCGCCGGCGGCAGAAAGGAGGACAAGAAGGTCGACAGGGAAGAGGCGCTCGAGGTGCTGAGGGGCGTGTACGAGGAGCTGAAGGCCGGTGAGACCAAGGCGCACGCAAGGGCGGCGGTGCCGGCGTGCCTGATCGCGGCCTCGAGCGTGTTCCATGCCGGCAAGGGCGACCGCGCCGCCGTGGACGCCGTGGTCGGGGACGCTGGAGAGGGCTCGGCGGTGCAGCAGGAGATGAAGAAGGCTTGGGACGAGTGGTGCAGGAACCACGAGGCCCTGAAGAAGAAGGCTGCCGCCGCTGATGCTGCTGCTGCAAAGAGCAAGTAGAGCAGGGAAAAGGGAAGAGTGCCAGATAAGGCCATGGCGTGGTACTGGGAGGTTTCATTGTCGGCGCACCGGGCATGGGATAGGAAAAGAAAAGAAAAAAGCGATTCCAGTCACACTTGAAGCATTGGCCATTGAACAGGCCTTGTGGAGGTTCTAGGCTTGAGTTACTGTTCGTATATAATGCTGTCAGACCCCATTCATGCTATTTACGCGATTTCTACGGAATCTTATCGACTAACACAACCTCGGTCGGTTCTCATTCGAGCAGAGCAACTCGAAGCGTCCCGGGCCATCCTGGGTATGATGGATGATGTGGGTGTGTCTCTTAGGACAACTCACCCTCCCCTTTTATCCGAACTTTTTTTCTTTCCTTTTTTTTCCCCTTTTTTCCTTTGATGACGAGATTTCATTACCTGTGCGGGAATCAAAAATTCTAGCAGGGCTTGATGGGGAGTTCAAATGAAGGGGAAGATCACGCCCCGTCTACGCGGGTTCTGGCTGAGCGAGGTTCTATAGGGGGCGGGTGACGATGGCGACGGCGGGAGTGGCGGTGATGGCGGAAGAACAGAAACCAGTCTGGGCTTGACATGAGGGATCAGAATAGCGACCTGAGCAGTCTCGGGCGGCCAGAACGAGATGTGTCCGTCGGGTTGAACGTCACGAGAGTCACGAGGAGGTGCATCGCCACGGCTGTCTCCAACGTCAAGGGTTTGATAAAGAGGTGAGGTGGGCGAGGCGGGCGAGGCAGGTTCTTGTGAGGGAATGGGGGCATCGGAGGTGTCCAACTGCTCTTCCGAGAGGGATTCATCTAGGTCCGGGCCGCACACAGCCAGGAGGTCCTGCGCGCCATCATGACCAGAGGCAACGGAACGCTCTGAGCCGCCGTGGAGCAGAGACATACGGTCAGGGTTGCGGACAACCAGCTGGCCTCTATGAACGTCGAGAAGGCGAGTCGCGGCGGCCACGGAGAACTCAAAGTGGTCGTAGACCACGCCGAAGGTTGAGTCTTCGGAAGGATGGTTCTGCTCCGAGTCCGGGCTTGGGTTCTTTGTCTGATCCTCCTCCTCCTCCTCCTCCTTCTTCTGGCCGGGCGTCTTGCAGTCGAGGTACTCGCTCCAAGTCGGCACGTCCTCCAAGCACGGCACGCCGGGAGGGGGAAACGGTTCCCGGCGATGCTCCAGGACCTGTCTGAGGATGTAGGTGTTGTCCAGGGCGTTGCAGAAGCGGAGGCACAGACGGCGGAGGCCGCGGCGGCAGCGTGTGGGTGTGGGAAGCTTGGCCATGGGTGGAGCTGCTGCCCGGTGGTGTGTTTGTGGAAGTCGTTTTTTGTGTAATTTTCTCTGCAAGTGTCGAACCGTCGTGTTGTGTGACGGACTTCTACAAACTGTAAATGAGACTATGTATATGTTTGTCCTCGTGGCAAAAGGTAGGAGAGGCTTCTGGCTACTCGGGTCGTCTCTGACTGTGAACCAAGGACTTGTCCCAGTACAAATACAAACAAAGCATTGTTCAGTGAGCTGGCTGCCTAGATCCCGAGTAGCACAGTGTAGGTGAAAGGGGTCCAGAGTCGTGATCTAGGATACTCCATCCACAAGACTTTATCTAAATATTGTTCATGTTGATACATGACCCTCTAGAGGGACGTTGAGAAAATACTATTATAAGAATGATAGCTAGTTAGCATGTCGAGATACTAAGCAACTAGCTTTTTCCAAACATTTAGAGTCCTGGTCTTTTAATGGATTGTATATAATGTGAATGGACTCTGGCAGTTATCGGCGTCAATGTCCGAATCTGGTAAATGTGACCTAGATATGACTGGCAGACTGCTGATTTTGGTAAATAGGTCAATGATGAATGTCAGCTCCGGCATCCGTTATGGGGCCGTAGGGCCACATCACCAGACCTCAAAAGCCTCAAATAACTGCCGTTAATGCCTTATATACCTGATTTTTCTTTTGGAAAACTATGAGTTTGAGGAGCTTGTTCACATTGATCTCTGGCCCGTTCCTAGGGAAGTCTCACCTAGCCATTCACCAGGCATGGCAAAAGGCAATGAACTGATTGACAGGCGGCAGGGGTGGGGATTACATTGCATCTTTTATGGATGCCGCTCTATACATTTATGTGATTACCTTCAGGTCTCAAGTGATCATAGTATCAAGCTTGTGGGCGGTGTAGATAGATTCTGTATTTTGAGTCTAGCATATCTATGATGGCTCCATCATTATGAGCTCCTCGGTGACCTCTCCCAAACTATTATATCGAAATCAGAGACCGCCATACTCATTGTGTATGAATTCTCTCGATACGTGAAGTGACCTCTAGACCGACGAACAGGAATCGGGAGTTGAGTGGCGACCCCTTGCAACATGAAGGTTTCTGACGCCAACGAGACGAGCGTTGTCATTTTTTGGTGCACTCTAGGAGAGGCCTATGCCAGGGCTAAAAAGGCCAGAACGTGGGAACTTGGGGTGCTTCTCTGCATTGGGTGTATTTGCGGGAGAACGCGCAGCTTAGGTAGAACCGGACTGTTACTCGGCTTGTCTCTCAAGGCATGTTGAAGGTATACGACGGCCCCGAAAGGGACATTGATCCTGAATCGGTGCCCCGTACCTATCGTCCTCGGGAGTTCTCTATCTCAAGGTACGCAGGATCGGCCCGGGTTTTTCGGTATTGCTTGTAAACCGTCGTCCCGGGACGCGAGGAGGCAGACGCCACGGCGATACAGGCTTGGTGGCTGAGGTGGAGAATGTCGGGAGCATCAACACCATCGTCCGCGGATTTTTTATGTTCGACTGCAACATGAGAACGAGTGATACGGTAGCTGGTAAGGCCCAGGTCTATACAGAATGCGGGCCGCCTGAGGCCACCGTCGCCGGGCGGCGCAGCATGGGAGGAGCCCAAACGAAACGGCCACGTCTACGCATCTGTGCAAAGGAGCTGTCCAAGAGGATAGCAGGGTGTTGTTTCCGGACAAAGCAGCAAAGCTGTCTTGCAAGGCCATGCGATGTGTCCTTTGAAGATGGAAAAAGGCAGGACGAGATGTTGTGGGCCTGCAATGTCAAACGTTCGCATCAAACTCTCAATGCCGTCAATGGCTCTAATTTTACTCTATTTCATTTGGAATGGGATACACTCTGATGAATTTGAGAAGAATGCCACTCCATATTGAGGCTTTATTCGCCCTTTCAGAGAACGAGAGCGGTTCTTTTCGTTCATCTCGTTATTGATAGCCGGCCTTTGTTCCACGCATCATGTCAAAGTAAAATCAGGCTAACAGAGTCCTTGTCATTCACTTTTGTAGACAACGGTAACTGAATAGAGGACCGAGTCCCTGATGACAATTCCAGAAGCATCGATTCTCATAAAGTCCAAAGAGCCTACCATGTCTACATACGTTTCCAGAACCACATCACAAGACGAGCCTCACCATTATACTTCTCGACTCAGAAACGGCGTAATCGACAACAACGTAACGGCACACAAGCATCCCGAACTGTCAACATGTGCATAGAACTATGGCGCAGATACTTTTGCCCAAAGGCGCCGCATCACACTCCGACGAGCGATCTCAACTTCGGGATCGACGTCCATCCTCAACCCAGGGAAGACGTGGCTGACCACTGCCTGGTACAGGAATGCGACAACGTCTTCAGGGAGAACGAGGAGAGCCCGCAGGACAACGTGGACGAGGGGCGCCAGATTCACTGGATCTACAACCTGGTACGGTGCGCCCATCTCTACTCCCACGAGTGCGCGAGGTCGCCTTGTGTTGGAGGGAGGGTTCAATACTTTGACCACCCATGCTCGTACTGCAGTGGTGGCATCGACGTGCACGTCAGAGACTACGGCGAAGTCTTGCGCGACGTTAGCCTGCCTTTGAGAATCCCAGCGACCGGGAGAGCAATAGACCCGGAGGTGGTACAGAGATTCGAACATTATAGGGAGAAGTACCTGCTCCGGTTGCTCCGATTGTTCCACGTTATGCTGCTGAGGTCCCTTCCAGTACGGCCCGAGGGCGAAACCTGGAAGTCCTTCATCGAAACCGCCTGGCCCGAGACCTTCTGCAAGCTGGACTTCGATCACATTGGCCACGGAGTCGTCGACTGCGAATGTCCGGCAACGAAGGAGGAGTGGCGGACCAACTCGGCGTACTCGAAACGGAAGAACGAGGCGCTGGCCATACTCAACGGCCTCGAAGCTAGGAGCGGGCCCCGTGGCGCGTACGTCTATTATTGGTGGACAGAGGGCTTTGGCACAGACGACGACTGGGAACCAACTGACAGGGCCAACGGCGTGTACTCCAAATACGATGAGGAAACCGACTTCTTGCCACACCAAATGCAGTTTGTATACTTCAGGCAGGAGGATTACGACCGGCGATATACAAAGCTTCAGACTCTGGCGAGAAACTGTCTGAGGCAGCTAAAGGAGAGGGGCAAAGACATCTCCCAAGAGCACCCGACGACGGGATATTGGCAGCGTTGCGGGATCAAGTGGATGGGATTCGACGATTGGGATAGGTCACTTGACCGGCGCATGGAGTTCCTGGAATGGGTTTACCAATTCCTCGCGCTCGACGCCGGTCTCCACGAGAACGTCATGATGTACCTCGCCGCTGCGCTGCTCGCCATGCTCAACCCTTGGCCCAACCCTCAGATCAACTACCACCCCTCGCATCCCAATCCCTATGCTCTGGACAGCGAATTGGCGGCATACGATGTCCTCCAGGAGTGTATCTGGTGGGTCGAGTATCTGTGGCCGTTGGACGGAGACTTGAGGGTGCAGGACAGCTACAGGGAGTCCATCGATGCGAGCAGCGAGGTCAACTGGATCATCCAGCGCAACAGGGACATTGAGCTACTTGACATGAAGTCGCGCAATCGTACGGCTGCGCAAAAGACTGGACTGTTTATCCTGCCGCCAGAGGTGGCCATTGCGCAGGGCGACGAGATCTGCCCCCTGTGCCAGGAGAGATGGGGCCACTTTCCTTTCCACGAGCCGGTCCAGCTGCCGTGCTGCAACAAGTTCGTCGGGCGCAGGTGTATGAAGCAGTTTCTGGCGTCCAAGCCGATTCGGCCGGCAGGCGGCGACTATATGAGAAGGGAGAAATGGGTGGAAGAGTTCAGGTGCGCGCTGTGCCGCGAGGGCGTTGGGCACCACTTCTCACCGCATTTCTACGGGCAATTGCTGGGCGATCCTCCCAGAGATATCCGAGATTTAAGTTTCTATGACGATTATGAAGGGTTTCCGAGGCCGTCAGAGTACTGGCAATAAGTTGGAACTGTGGGACGTCGTTTTCTATCATTCAACACCCTTGGCCGACTGAGCGAGGAAGGTAGGCAATGGAAATATAAACGGCATAGATCCAAGCCGATTGGTTGGCCGTCTTGATTGATAATGCGGAGACGAAGATATCGTAGACTTTTCGACCGCTCGTGTTGGACCCCCCTTTGTTCGTCGTGGCAGTCAACGTCGTCGTCATTGGCGTCGGAGTCCCAGAGAGAAGCAGAAGAAGAAGAAGAAAAAAGGCTGAGAGTGACATTGGTAGGAACAAACACAGACAATAGAAAAGGGAGAGAGGTTTGTAGCAAACAAGAGGGAAGGAACAGCCTACCCGGCATAGACCGAAAAAAAAAGGCAACCGCTCATTCTGGAATCATCTTCTCCTCGCTCATTCCTTACTGGTTCCTTTGACTTTTTCACTCTTTGCCGCACATCGTCTACAACATCACCACCAGCCAAAGCGCCTGTCAAAGCTGTCAACCACGCTGCTTCCAAACAAGAAAAGGAACATTGTTCGCGGGGGTGCTTTCTGCATCTCGGCCTTCCATCTGCAATTCCAGCTGTATGTATCATCCGTACCTACCTAGGTGGTCACAGTCGTGCATTGAAAGCATGACTTGGCTTCTCCCCCCGTGGATCACAGTGTGCAGCTTAACCGACTGACTTGTTCACCAGGACAGCCATTCCGATCATTACACAGTTGCAATATCCTTCTAGGTGATGCTCCGATGCGTTCCGCCCGCCCATGCCCCGATATAATGCAGGAGTCGCCGAGGTCGTGACTCCAACCCTCTCTCACTGAGGCTCAACTGGCATCATCGGCAAGGCAGATGGTTGGTTGTTGGGATAGACCAATGCAAGAAGAGGCCGCTTCATCGAGCTGAGTTTACCTCTGCAGCTACCGCCTTACTCAGTACTTAAACTACTCTGTAACAGGAGGACATGGAAGTAAGCAAGCCCACACAATTAAGGGAGTGAGATCTGGATGGATCTAGGCCTAACATGGTCTGGTGCAATTCACGACATGGCCCAAATCCCTGCCTGGAACTGTCTCCTTTTAGTCAGGGCCCTTTTCTCTGCAGGTGCAGGCCCAAACGGCCCCCCCCCCCCCCCTACACCCTAGGACCCTTTAGCCATTGCGCTGCCTCGCACCCCGGCTGAAGCCAGAGGCGAGAAAAAGCTCCCTTGCCCACGGAAATTCCATCTCGCGCATCTCTCCCGAAGAGACCACATATCCCAATCGCAAATTTTGTGGGAGCAATATTTCGATTCTTGTCCGTCACAGATAAGGTGGAACTTGTTGGGCGGGACATTGTCAATTCGATAAGCAGCACATTGCCTCGAATTCCTTGGGCATAGAAGAGAGAAAAGGTAAGTGGTCAACGCGCCCTGCTGTTATGTTGTTGCTTCGCTGGCACATGTTCCCCACGTCGCTACAAAGGAAGCTCCAAGCTAATTATAACACCTGGCATCCCCAGACTCGTGGTTTGACTTCGACACGCACTCAACCCTTGGCCATCTCGCGCCGCCCTCCCTTCGTCCACGTCAGGCATCAACTGGACTCGCCGCCGCCGCCATGAAGTTCAGCAACATTCTGTCCCTCGGCCTGTTGGTCATGTCGCCCCTGGCCGCAGCTTGGAGCAAGGAAGGTAAGCACGCTACCAGACGCATATGCAACTTGACCGCGCAACGTCAGCTAACAAAGGCGATGGTCAGATCGCGAGATTTTCCGCATCCGCGATGAGATCAGGGCCCACGAGGCAAACCCCGACCAGACATTCTACGACCTTTTGGGTGTCAAGAACAGCGCCAGCATCGACGAGATCACCAAGGCCTACCGCAAGATCTCTCGCACCCTCCATCCTGACAAGGTCCGCCAGCAGATCATCGCCGAGCGCACCAAGGCCAAAAAGAAGGCGAACAAGGAGCCCGGTGTCAACGTGCAGAAACCCCCCACTCAGAAAGAGATCAAGGCTGCCGTCAAGATCGCCTCGGAGCGCCAGGCTCGTCTGGGTCTTGTGCGCAAACTCCTCAGCGGCCCTGAACGCGACCGCTACGACCACTTCTTGAAAAATGGCTTCCCGGCTTGGAAGGGCACCAACTACTATTACAACCGCTACCGTCCCGGCCTGGGTACCGTGCTGTTCGGCGTCTTCCTCATGGGTGCCGGCGCGTTCCACTATATCGCTCTGTACATGTCTTGGAAGCGCCAGAAGGACTTTGTCGAGCGTTACATCAAGTTTGCTCGCAACGCCGCGTGGGGCGACAACCTCAGCATCCCCGGCATCGATCCGACACCGGCGCCTGCCCCCGCCCCGGCGGCCGACGACGAAGAGGGTCCCCAGCAGCCGATGAACCGCAAGCAGCGCCGTATGCAGGAGCAGGTCGCCCGGAGAGAGGCCGCTAAAGAGCGCGGAGGCCGGTTCCGCAAGCCTGCCGCCGCCAGCAGCGGTAGTGCCACTCCCCGTGAGGCACCCGCCGCCCAGAGTGGCCCTACCGGCTCCAAGAAGCGCGTTGTGGCCGAGAATGGCAAGATTCTGGTGGTCGATTCGCTCGGCGATGTCTACCTTGAGGAGCAGGACGAGGATGGCAACACGGAGCAGTACCTTCTTGATGTAAGCGCTCAAAACTAATACACCCCAGCCTATACCACATTTTGCCAGCCGATACTAACTGGAATGAATTAGCCCAATGAACTGCCTCAACCCACCATCCGCGACACCGCGCTCGTCCGTCTCCCCATCTGGGCCTACAATCGCACCGTCGGCCGCGCTCTCGGCCAGAACAACGTTGACTTGAACATCGACACTGAGGACCTGGACTCTGACGATGGCGAGGCCCAACACACCCCCAGCTCCGACTCGGCCGCCGACGACTTTGAGCTCCTCGAGAAGTCGACTGATTCCTTGGGCAAGGCCAAGGCTTCTGGCGCGCACACTGGCGGCAGGTCCAACAAGCGCAAGAATAAGAAGCGTTAAGAGGAGAACGGGCTGAAGGATGCCAAACAGCTGCCCGTCCACACCCTTTTTCAGTTTGTTTTCGTTACTGTGACGTGACGGGTTGTGTGACGTTGACAGTCTGGGTTGTTTGTCTCAGCCTCGAGATCGGAGGGCTGCACGCTGCACCATAAGGCTGCGGCCGCTCTCGCAATGCATATAGCTTAACCACGAGTGCAGAACAAAAAAAAAACGAGTACATGAGAAGGCCCGACTTGATTCTTGAAATAGTGGTGATGGCATCAGTGCGTTGCATGTGCATTAAGGTTTGTCCAAAGGAAATGTGGAAGGATTCGATCATCCGAGATGCTTCTCCGTCGCGTCTGACATCTGTGAGACGACGAAGGCAGGCAGTTAGTAGGTCTCTGCGAGAAGGAACGGGTAATTAATGAGGGACCATAATTAGGCATTTTCTGGCACTATGCCAGAGGATGGGTTTTCCCTTCTGCATCATTACCCGTTCAGTCCAAGTATACATACACACACACGGGCTGTCCGCCCTTGTTGGCACCTATCCAGTTTGCCCCCATGATGAATTGGAAACTGTTATCCTGTCTCGAGCGATTTCGTTTCCCGTCAGGTTGCTGTGCCGCCCCTGCGCGGCTGGTGCGTTAGGTCGTTTGTTGTCCCCCTCTGCATCTCGCAACTCTGTTTCGTCCGATGCTTCGAATGCAACGTCAAACGAGGTGACATTATGACGGCTAACCTCGACAAACACCACAGCGAGTTGCGTTTACACTTCACCATTCTCACGTCATTCCATCGACATGCTTGCTGCCTTGTTTATAAAAAAGGCATGCTTCCCACCTCCTCCCCGGCTGCGCTGAAACAAGGGAAACTCAACGCCAAAACGGGCCACCCGTTCCTGGGCTTGTTATCAAAGGAAACAGAACTGCCAGCGGAATATGGAGTGTTCCACCCCCCCCCCCCCCCCCCCCCTTCGTCCCTCTCCCACCTACCGCGACCTGAGATAGATAGGTGCTCGAGCGCTCCACCGCACGGCGACGCACTGCTCGAGCCCAGAGCCGGTCAACAGGTTCCAAGTTCGCGCCCCCGTCATCCTCCCCGATGATTTGCTCGCATTCCCTAGCGTCTGTTCGCCAAAGACACCATCGCAACCGCTAAGCGAATTGCACTACCTCAATCAAGACTCTGCCACATGTTATCTCTCGCCATCCTCATCGGGGAGGGGTTGCTCGCGTTTGCGGGATCGGTCGTCTCGTATTCACGTGTGCCCGAGTGATCCCAAGGTTTCCTTCCTGCCTTTGCACTATTCCCCATACATGGGAACTTCTATCAATGTGCTCACCCGACGTCCCTGCTCTTCCGTACTTGCCTACCTACTTACTTACCTACGCACAAGATCCGTTCTCGATTCACACCACCATGAGCCGATCCCGAGTGCCCCGCCTCGAGAGGGTCAGAGATTCGACTCGAGCCATGCTGAACCACTGTCTAGTACAGACAGTTCTGCCCGCTACTGAAGGGCCAAACTAACACGATCAGGCCACCCGGCTCTGGACACCCGTGACACTAACTGAGGCTATTCTTACTGCTTGGCTGTGCACGCACATCGAAATAGTATACTTACCCCTAAACCAAACGCCACTCCGTTCGACGCCGTGATATGTATACCGAGCGACCCTCCTGGACCCTGATGGGTCTTTTTCTCCCCGTCGTTTGCTCTCTTCCCGCTCTGTCGAACGCACTCTACGACAATCCAACGGCACTGTTGGCATGATGTCTAGGTAACCCAAAGAAAGAACACGAACTCTTGTGGAATCGCTTGTGGGTGCCTGTTCTATCGTGCAAATAATGGAGGATCGTAGCTGGCTGGTGCTTGGTGTGGCTGCCTTCTTCTTCGCCTTATCTTGGATCGCTGTCGGCCTGCGCATTTACTGCTGTGGATGGATTATACGCTCTTTCAGGGTCGACGACAAGCTCATGGTTGGTCTCATGGTAAGTGGCAAGCTCATCCGAAGACTGAGGGACAACGTGGACTAATAGCAAAGTTAGTTCATTTATACCGCCTACCTTATCACACAGATTCAAAGCGTTCGTTACGGCACTGGTCGACACAGAGTCGACCTCAGCCCGGAAGACAACCGCAATGCGCTCATGGTATGGCCTCGATGCCGCCTTTACATCCGTACCCAGCCAAACGTTACTCTGACTAATAATGATCCCATAGCTCTGGTACATTTGCGAACTGCTCTACATCATCTCCACATGTCTTCTTAAGATCTCCGTCGGTTACTTCCTCCTGCGGGTCTCCATCCGCCGTGTCCACATATGGATTATCCGCCTCCTTATGCTCGGCACCATCCTTTTCGGCATCACCTTCTTCTTCCTGGTCATGTTCCAGTGCACGCCCATACCGACCTTCTGGGAGCAGTCGCCTCGCATGGCGGACAAGTGCCTCAGTAACAGCGTCATCTTCTCCACCTTATACACAGCATCCGTCATCAACTGCCTTGCTGACTGGGCTTTTGGGATCCTCCCGCTCTTCATCCTCTGGTCACTCTCACTACCCAAAAAGGCCCGGATGCTTGCCGTCGCCATTCTGTGCTTTGCCGCCATCGGCTCTGTTGCGGCCGTCATCCAATCGGTCTACATACCGACCCTCCTCGACGGCGACGATTTTCTATGGTCCACGACCGACATCGCCCTCTGGAGTACCGTCGAGCCCGGCATCGGCATCACGGCCGCGTCCATCGCCACCCTACGTCCCCTGTGGCAACTACTAGGGCACCCGGGTCCCCAAACGCCTCGTTCCGTAGCCTGGCGAGAGCGCTTCCAGGCGAAGTCGAACTACGTTCGGAGCGACGGGTCCGATCCGCGTCAAGACCCGCTAGAACCCATGCCAAACTATGTCTCTCCCGATGAGTATGAGGCAGATACTGGTTTCGTGTTCCAGTCGGAGTTGCCGTCCGTCCACATTTCGCAGAACCGCTTCAGCTTGTCGACGACCTCGCACCGGAGCCGCCGGAGCCGCCGGAGCCGCTCGAGCAGGTATTTCGAGACGGCTCCACCCGTGGAAGATAAACGTAGCGAGGGCCACAGGCAGAGCGCTGAAAACGTGCCGAACGATGATGTGGAATCATTGGTCACGTCTCGCGAGGACGGCGATGGCGCTCAATGGCTGTGCCCCTCCCCTTCCCACGATGTATGTTTGATAACCTCCCCGTCTCCGGCTGAGGTACTAGTCGCAGAAAGTTTCCCATTTGGCGCTGACCCATTGTCATAGAGATACGAGGACTGCGACTTTGAGGTCGAAGACGGGTTCAACCTGACGCTGATGACTACAACTCATGACGCCCCGACCATCAACTGGTCCAGTCCGCGCGTGTCGACCATCTCCATGGGTTTTGCCCCGTCCCATCGCAACTCGGCGCAATCCGCCGCTCCGTCATGGGGCTTTAGCAGGTGCAACGGCACGAGTAGGATCAGTAGGATGAGCGGCTCGGTTGCCAATTACCGTAGCAGCTTCGGGACGAGCAAAGTGAGCTGGCGCAGCAACCCGATGCACAACAACGGCAGCATCAGGGCCAGCAGCACCGGGGCCAGTAAGCCCAGGGCCAGCAGGCTCAGCAGCGTCATCAACGCCAACCAGGCCGCTGAAGGCCGCGCCAAAACGGACAGCTACGCCGGGACACTGGCCATCAGCAGGGACCCGAGCCCGAGCCCGAGCCGGCGCGGCAGCAGCGGCAGCGGCAGCGGCAGCGGAAGCAAGTCTGACCGGCAAGACTGGCGAGGCCGGACGCCGCCGCGGGCGAGCGGCCACTATGCCCTGGGGTCCCAGTTCCTGGCGCCGCCGTCGGTGGACTTCCCGATGCCGAGTCCCCCTCCCAGCGTGTGGCGGGGCAGCGTCACCGCCGGGGACGAGACCGACTCGGCACAGTGGCTCTCATCCAATATGCCGGGGCACCCCGGGCACCCGGATCCCATGTGGCAGTAGCAGGCGGGCACTGCTATTCGAGAGACCTTGCGAGCGTTCAGGGATCAAGTATAAAGGCGCTGCGGTCGGGGCTCTGGGGACTACCAGCACAACTTTTCCCCGGGGGCAGACGAGTTCCGTCCGAGACCCGAGCCGGCGCTTAGTCTCGTGTATCATCAACTTGATCTTCCATCCATACTAGCCGGCGGCCATTTCAAAATGGGTTACAGTAAAATATATAAAAGGGAAAAAAATCAGGGGTGAGGGAACATTTCAGGCGTACAGGCGGTGGCGTACAGGTGCCACTCGATGAAAGCTTCAGTGATGACAATAGCAAACCAAGGGGGCGAGAGGCCGGGCGGCAAGTGTATCATAGACCAGAGTTGCGTATCACGAGTATCGCAATAATAATACCACTGCACTAATTCCCCCCCCCCTTCTTTTTCTTCAAAATTTCCGTTCAAGCAATGAAGTTGACGGTGGTGGTGATGTCGACGCCTCAGGGGCGTTTGGAATGGGGTGGGAAAAGGGGCATACAGACACCTCCCTTAAAGGGAAACAGACTGTCTGTCCGAGCAAAGCCAGACAAGTTGGTGCTCTTCCCGCCGCGGCACGGCACCCGAGGGTTATCCGCCTAATGCATCATGGCGAAACCTACACGGACGTGGAGGAGGCTCCCCCAACGGACGGCACAATTGCATCATAGCCAAGTATTAATGATTTCTTCGAAGGCGGGAAGGAAGGGATCTGGGCCGAGCAAAGAAACACCCGCGGCCGTGCTGCCCGTCATCCGTGTTCACTACTAGCGGAACGCGTCCTTTTTGTTTCGTTGCGTAGTTCTGTTCATTCCTCATGTGTGCCTAGTGGTATCTGGCCAATTCCTTATCCATAACCTTCTTAACAAAAGAAACCGTTCTCCAAACAAAGATAGCCAGCCCGTTATTGCCTTGCTCTCCACCCGTGTGCCCATCCGACATGCAGTCCAACCCGTGAGAGAAGGAGGTATCTGCTGCTATGCTGAAAAGTGAATTTGGTGCGCGCAAAGTGTCCGTTTACAAAATTTCCATGGCCTCCATGTTACCCGCCTGGCCGCCATAATGCTGGAAGGCGCCGTACTGATTCTCCATTTGCATCTGCATTTGAAGCGCCTGCTCCCTGGCCCAGTCATCGCCGAAGCCCTTGTAGACGGGGTCGGTGGCCGGCTTATAACCGCCGAGGACGGAGCCACAGTGAGAGTAGTTGCCGCTGGGGCGGGCCTCAACCTGCTCCCGCTCGTACTCGCGGCGCATCATCTCCTCGTAGCCAGACATCATGTAGGGTTCGACCTGGTGGGAGATGGAGTTTGCCAGCCAGCGGCTGTCGTCCGACTGAACCGGGGTGCCATCGAGGCTCATGACAGCGTTCTGCTGCTGCTGCTTCTCCGCCTCCAGACGCTCATACCGCAGCTTCGCCAGCTGCTCCTCCTGCTCCAGAGTGGTGCTCGTCCAGGCGAGCGAGGGGTTTTCTGTGCTCGAGGTAGGCGGCGCGGCACGCCAGATTTCGATCAGACGTAGCTGGTGGGGTTCTTCGGAGATTCGGAAGAGCTGGATTTGGGAGGGGGAGAGGACAGAAGGGTCAACGCCGTGCTGGCTGAGGACAATCTCGGGAGTCAACTGCTCGGTCTGAGGAGGTTCTGACGAGGGACGTTGAATAGGAACATGTTGAGATTGTGGCTGGCGAGCAATGTGCGCCGAGTGGGTGTAGTGTTGGGTGATGGAGTAGATGATGGGGGCCGGAGTTGGTGCGGCGTTGGTGGGGGCGGGGTCAGGGGTCTGCTTGAGCTCGTCTTCTGGCTTGGGCGACTGTACTTGGCTCTGCACCTCTGGGTTAAAGGTTAGATTGCGAGAGAAGAGGGCTGCAAGGTCATCTTGAGACTGCATTGTAGGGGCGTAGGAACTCATGGCCTAATAAAACATGTTAGTCGTTGTCCTTGGCTGCTGGCTTGTTGTTGCGGCGATGTGGTGGGTGTGTCATCGCCGATAAAAGCCCGGCGGGGTTCCGAGGCAGACAAATGATGACCTGCCGGTGCGTTCGTCGAAAATTGATCCAAGGGGATGGATTACTTGCCTGTGTGCCGGATGGTTGTGGTCGAGGCCAAAGGTGAAAGAAAAAGAGGCCAAAAAATGGTTCAAGAAGAAAAAGTACGGTTCCCTCGTACAAGTGCTTGCTATGGAAGTGAATCTGGTCGTGGTGCAGAAGACAGTGGGGTGCTGTCGTTGGGATCTTGCTCTTGGTAATCGGGTTCGGGGGCTCGGACAGCGATAGAAAACAGAAGTGTTTCTTATATTGTCTACTCTATGTACCCTCGAGAGTTTGCTGTGTGGAAGCAGAAAATAAGAGAACAGAGACTCGAGTAGAAGAGGGAGGAGGAGACGGAGAGAGGAAACGTTGAGGGTTAGTTAGCCAAAGCGATGGACAGCAAGGGTCGGGAAGCGGCGGCGGATCGGGTTCGACACGATGGTCCCTTGGGCAGGAAGACAGCAGTAGTGGTGACAGGGTTTGGGGTTTGTGTGGATGTGATGCGGGTGCGGCCTGGTCAGCGGATGCAGTAGGACCAGATAGATGAGTTTAGTGGCGGGGTGAGAGAGAACTACGCCGTCGTGCTTGCTCGCTTCTGGGCAAACAGTCGAGGGTATTTGCGTCAAGTCGTAGAATATTAATGGCCAGTCGTGATAGAATTTTGGGAGAGGGAGCATTCAAGGGGCGGATGTGCGTAGCTGGAGTTTATATGACGGAAGGAGACAGTCAATTTCTGGCGGGTAGGGAAGAGGAGGGAGGGGAGGAAAGAGAGAGAGAGAGAGAGAGAAAGCGGCAGGAGGGGAGGGGAGGACCTGGCAGGGGGGAAATTAGGAAGGAGGGGCAACTAGCGGGCAAGACCATGACGCAGACAGGGCAGTGTGACGCAGATTCACTCACCTGGCTGGCTGTAAACACTCACTGTATATCCGTACTGCCGCTACCGGTGGGAAGGTGCGCTGCGCTTAGCTGAGTTAAACGTTTCAACACAGTGACGGTAGGCATTACCAACATACATACCGTACACTCAAGTACATCGTACCTACCTACTCAAGTAGGCAATTGTCTCTCGTCCCATCCCATCCCATCCCATCCCATCTTATCCCCTACGCTACCTACCCTCTCCGTCTCTGTCACCACATCATCATCATCATCACCACAAACATGGCGCCAACCACCGCTAGCCGGCCCAATCCAACCGCTTGTCTCCATGGTCACTTTCTTCCGTCGGGCCGGAATGTCTGCCTGAACCTGCAATAGACCCTTGCTTTTGAGGTGGTCTCGCCCAAACTACAGCTAATCATTCACCCATTCAGGTACCAAAGATGGGGACGGTCCGACGCATAACGGATCGCCGGACGAGTCGTGAATTCGGTACCTGGCCTGGCATCAACATGCATGCAACCATAACACATCACGCAGAGGACCAAGGGCATGGTCCGGCAGCAAGCCGGCAACTTTGAAACCTATGTACTATACATCGTAGTACCTACTCTTTTCCCATATCCCGCACCTGCGCCCAATGGGCTCTGGAAGCCCACCGAGCTATGGTACCTATCTAGATGTCTGTGCCTACCTCACGTAGTAGGCCGTTTCCCGTGACACACTCGGGCCCATCTGTCGTCACCTGTCTGCGCATTTCATACACTTACTTTATTTCGTTCAGAGGGAAACCCTTTAACCATGTCCTCTTCGACCTGTTGCTGAAAACATGCGATACCCATACCCACTTGGAGAGCATTTAAAGCGAAGGCCATGGCTTTCCCAACAGTTTTCTTTGCCTAGCTTTGCTTCGTTCCGAGGCCGACTCTCGAGATGCTAGTCTCGTCGTTCGTGCTTCTTCGTACACCGCTCCTCCTCAAACCCCCGACCTAGCACATGTTTCGCCCTACCCATCCGGGCCTGGCCTCTTGAGTATCGGCTAGGTGCCACCGATACGGGAGGTGTGATACGTACGCAGTAGTAACATGTCTGATGAAGCATCTCTTACAACATGCGGAAGCCATGCTTCGGGATCCTTTGGTGAGAGAGGAACGGGGTCAACGGACTACTCGCTTGAGACTTGCGTCGGCCGGCCAAACGAGCCTCGAAACTTAAAAAAAAAATGAAAAAAACATGAGAAGAAAAAAAGAATTACAAAAGCGACCGCCAACTGTCTCCCCTCACGCGGAATCCTCCAACACCTACCTGGCAGCTGCAGCCCACTGCAGGTTCAAGTGTGGGATGGTGGGGTAAAACCAAGTCCAGTTGCGCCGCTCCAGCTTGAGCCACATTTGTGTCTGTGGCTGATGCTCCCCGTCACTTCTCCTCAGCACACACCTATCTTTCCTTAGATCCACCCCTGCTCTCACTATCGGCCTGAGGCACACTTACATCTAGCCTCGCTCGTCAACCTCGCGCAGCAACACGCAGCTCGGGTTGCCTGAAGCTCAGATCTCAAGCCTCCAGATTCCCCCAATCCCAAACCACGTCCCGCCATCGTCATCCACCACCAAAGCCAGCTTCCCGACAACAAGACAACCTCCCACGATCCTGTACCTCATCACAAAACTACCTGCCGCCGGCCGTGTTACGCCGTCTTTTCCAAATACAAGCCGCCTACCCCAATACCCAAGCTCCCTCTAATTCACAATGGTAAGCTTTCCCTTACCAGGTACCGGGGGGCAACCACCACCACCTCCTCGTCCTCCAGTGACCGGGGTTCTTGGGAGCTCTCGCCGCACCCGATCCCCGTCCTCTACAAAGCACGAAAATTGCTAATGTGTTTGTGTCTCGCATGGAATAGACGTCGATAGGTACAGGCTATGACCTGAGCAACTCCATCTTCTCCCCCGACGGCCGCAACTTCCAGGTCGAGTACGCCGTCAAGGCCGTCGAGAATGGCGGTACATCCATCGGCATCCGCTGCAAGGAGGGTGTCGTTCTTGCTGTCGAAAAGGTCATTGCCTCGAAGCTATGGAAGCCCAATGCCAACAAGCGCATCGCCACCATTGACAGACATCTCGGTGTTGTAGGTCGGCCCCTCGTCCTTTCTTTCCCCCTCTTGCAGTCAACCACATATCCTCCCCACCCCTTCCCTTGCTTCTACATGTCTCTAGACTAGTGCACAAGCATCTCAACTCCTATGTTCATCGCTTTAATATATCATTTTGTTTCTGGCTATTAAACTCACTCAAACAAGGTCTACTCAGGCATGGTCCCCGACGGCCGCCACTTCGTTGACCGCGCCCGCGAAGAAGCCCGCGGCTGGCGCGAGACCTTCAAGACCCCCATCTCCACCGCCGACCTCGCATCCCGCATGGGCGGCTACCTCCAAGCTTACACCCTCTACTCCTCCGTCCGTCCCTTCGGCATCACCGCCATCGTAGGTGGCTTCGATCCGTCAACCGAGTCCCCCGTCGACGGGGAGGTCGGCTCCGGCCCCAAGGTCGGCGCCGGCGGCAAGGACACTTCCAAGAAGCACGGCGGCCCCTTCCTCTACATGATTGAGCCCTCGGGCTCCTACTGGGGCTACTACGGCGCCGCCACCGGCAAGGGCCGTCAGGCCGCCAAGGCTGAGCTCGAGAAGCTTGACCTCGCCGAGGGCGGGCTCACCCTGAAGGACGCCGTCAAGGAGGCTGCCCGCATCATCTACGTTGCCCACGACGACAACAAGGACAAGGAGTTTGAGCTCGAGATGAGCTGGATCAGCGACATCGACGGCCCCACCAAGGGCCGCCACGAAGAGGTGCCCAAGGACCTGCGCGAGGAGGCGGAGCGGTTAGCCAAGAAGGCGCTCGAGGGCGATGACGATGACGACGAGGACAAGAAGGAGGACGACAAGATGGAGGAGTAGGTATCCCCCATGATGACTGCTTGAGAATCGGGACTGCGGTCGGGCTGCTATTGGCAGCAGGGAAGACATAACGACAGAGAGACGAATCAAAAGATGAAAAAAATATCTGTCAAACACACGACGGAGTTCTGCTGCCTTAGAGGGGTGGTATCTTCACGGCCTCTTTTGTGTATCTGTAAAAACAGCATGACGAGGGCCATGGCGGCGGGATCATAGACTAAATCAGACCAGATTTGGGCACGCGTCGGTTCCCGAGGTTTACCATGCCACGTCGTCATACCGGCTAGCCTAAACGATACAGATCCAATCCATGCTAGAACGATTTTCACTTCACATAGGTAGGACGGACAAAGCTGTAGATGACCAGTGTGCCCCTGCGAGTCATCCGGAGGGCGACAACCAGAATCGGGTAAGGCACGGGAACGAATGAAGGGGGGGGGGGGGGGGGGGCCTTGATCAGGACGACGTAACTCGCACGATACGTTATATTCTATTAACCAGTCCAGTGCGAACCTGCATTGCATGCTTGCGCGGCCAACAATCGTGTCCCGTGGTGGCACGTTACCATTCTCTGTCCCGCTTTTAGCAGACCCCACCGACGAGCACGTCGGTTACTTAGAGTCTTCCATTGATAGCTTACTCGTAAATCGGGTTGTCCCGTGGGAGACATTTACTCGCAGGTAACACGGGAACTCGCAGAGCTGTCAT